CAAGCTCACCTTAACAATGGTTTTTAAACCAAGCTTGATAATCCAACAAACCAAGTTTAAGTTATCCTCCACTAGATTCGTTAACATATAAGCTAGCTCATTTAAAAAATATAAATATAAAATACACTTTGAATTTTCTAAAATGTATTAAAGTTTAACAATTTAAGCACAAAATAATTAAAAATATTTAAAAAATATATCTCACTTGTTTTTATCAAAGCTATATCTTATTATTTCTTCTATAGATTCTCATTACAAATCTATTTAAATCAAATGTTTTTTTTTTTCTATCTTTCATAATAAATGACCTAGCTCATGAGCTTATTTGAACTCGTAGAATTAACTCCAAACACGAACTCAATTAATTAATTAAGCTCAAACGGAGGATTACTCGAGCTCAAATGAACTCATTTAAATAAGTGCATCAAAAAACGTGCAAGTAAAGAAGCAGCATGGTGCAAGACAAGGAGCTACTATCAGTGATTCAATATAGTCAACCATCTCAACCGTTTGGGATCACTTTTGGACACAAAATATGGGCAAAAGTTAACAATTAGCTTATTTTATGTTTCAAAGGCATTATTTTTGATGTTTTAATATAAAATCATAACATTAATTAGCTCGTTGACTAAAGAGGAGCTCCGCCCGCCAAAGTTGAATGGGAGTTCCATTGGCTGGAGTGAAGACGCGGAGAAATGAGTCGGCTTTTACTTTATACATTTTATAAGTACTTTTTTTCATAATTAATTATGATCATAAGATAGATAGATATATTATAAAAAAGAAAACTTTTTCTCATTTTTATTCTTACTAATAATATTACTTTTGATTGTGATTTAAAACTTAAGAAATTCATGAATGGTTTGATGTTCAACCATATTAAAAATTTAAAAAAAAATTCAAAATAGCCCTCAGACAATTCATATAGGGCTGCAAGCGAACCAAACGTTCGACGAGCTACTCGTTGTTCGATTCGAATAAAGCTCGTTTGTGATCGTTTAATTAACTAAACAAACAAATTTGAACAATATTTTAAATTCTCGATTCTTAAATAAACAAACTTGAACACTAATGCGTTCAGCTCATTTATGTTCGTGAACAACATCATTTGAAGTTCGTGAATAAGCTCGACATTAAGCTCGATAAGAAGCTCGGTTCGTGTTCGATTTTGAACTCGTGAATAAGATCGATAAAAATAATTAATATTTGACTATAAAATTAATAAATATAAATAATCATTGTTTGTTACATAGACAATTGCTTTTATTATAAATATATTTGTTCATAGATATATTCATGAACATGTTTGTTTGATAGTTAAAAAAAAAATCGTTAAATATGTTCGCAAACAAGCTCGATAAGCACTAAACGAACGAACATGAACTAAACATGAACCAAACATGAACACTCATAAATTTAAATGACCAAATATGAACACAAACAATAAAGCTCGAACAAACATTAATCAAACTTGAACAAGCTGATATTAAATGAACACAAACATGAACACTCACATACTCGGCTCGGCTTGGCTCGTTTGCAGCCGTAAATTCATATATGATCAATTTAGTCTCAGAGTATCGTATTGCTCCAATTTTGTCTACCGATTATATATAAAATGATCCAAAAATAATCCTCTTGTTGTAATTATGATATAAAATTAATCCAAATCTAGTCGCTCGACTTTACAAAATTGATCTCAATTTAGTCCCAAAGTGTCTATTTTGAATTAATTGTATATAGTCAATAGACTAAATTGGAGCGGCGTTATATTTTGGGACTAAAATGATCATATATGAAAAATTAGAAGACTATTTTGAAATTTAACCCTATAAATATTTATGGATGATCAAACATATATAGAGCTCTTTTAAATCTTTAATTTATGCACATATTCCAATGAAGCCGAAGTAATTTAAAAGAAAATAAATCATTTTGATCGTTTTAATTTAGATAAGAATGATATATTTTTTTTCTCTCTAAGGCCAAATCTTCATCCCGTTATAAAATACAGAATTAAGAAAAAACAGGAATCTTAACTTCTTATGTTCACTAATATTGCTCCACAACCTCCCACACTTCTGAATTTTCCATTGTGTACAACCGCTCGTTTAAGAAAAATCATTGCATCCGGTCACCAGACGCGAAGATAGGTCCAGATATTAATAAAATATTATTTTAAATTAAGCACAGGCGCAGGTAAATGCAAGTAAAGCGCAAGTCAAAGTGCAGTCAAAAGCGCAGGCAAAGCGCAACTAAAACGCAAGTCAAAAGCGCGGTCAAAAGCGCAGGTGACGTGGAAAATTTTTATTGGATGTCCGAACCTATTCTCCGCGTCAGGTGACCGGATGCAATAATAAGCCCTCGTTTAAGGGCACATTTTGGGCTGCCATTGTCATTTCTTTTAAAAAAAATTATGTTAAATATTTGATTCATTTTTATTAATATAAGCTTCAAAATTTTTAAATTTATATTGAGATTAATAAAATTCACGATATCATATATAATGCTAATCTCACCTTAAACTTAGAACGCTAACGCATATTCTCATGTGAAACGCATCAAAATATCTTTACATAATTTTTTCTCATTTGTAAAATGAGTAAATAGAGCCGTTGTGCAATAAAAGTTAATAAAGGTATTATAAATTTTTATTAGAAGTTAAATAATAATCTTCTTACAACTACTACAATAAAAAATATATTGTAAAAACTAATTTCTCATTATATTAAATAAAAATATAGCAAAATAAAAACAATGCAACAATTCAAAAAATAAAATAATGGAAAAAATTACCCCAATAAACTCAAAGATTTGAGTGGTGGACCCTACTTTTGTGATGTGCAAACCAAAGAAACTAGATTAAAATTAGATTAAATAAAGTTAGGATAAACTCCAAATATAACATTTAATAATCTGAAATTTATTTTCAATGGTTTGTGTTTGATGAATTTAATCTCTCTCCAAATTGATAAAATTGTATTTTCTCCTTACTAACCAAACTTTAACCGCGTGAGTTTTTGTATATGATAAATATGATTCTAATGTGCATTTTAACTATAATGTTATTCAATATCACAAAGTAAATTGATAGTTATGACTTTCCGAAATAAAAGAAGAGTGTAGATATAAATTGCCTTGTATTTCAATATTTCATTGATAAATTTACATTTCATATATAATATTGAAAATATTGGTAGTTTTAGTTGCTTATTTGGCTTTGTAAACTAATTAATTGGTTTTTATTCAGGTCAAAGATGTGATCAAGACCCTATAGAGTGATGCTATCAGGATTTTTCAGGAGATAGATTAATACTATAAGTGATCTCCTGATGAATATTGTGAATCGGATTTTGAAGAATGATGGTAAAAGATTTTGATCCATACAATTTATAGATTTGCTTCTGCTAGACTAATTTATAATGATGCTTTTATAAAAGCTCTAACATATTAGATAAGAGATAAAAGATACAATTCTTTCAATTTAGATTCTGAAGCGTCAGATAACATCAGCCCCAAAATTCCTCCCGCTCAATTTTTGCTTGATTTAATCAAAATGCACTAAATTAAATTAGTGTGGAGGATCTAAGGGCAGATTTAAAAACTAAAAAAAAAGTGATTAACTCATAAAATTTTATTATATTTTTATATATGATAAATATATAACAGAAGAATTTATATTCATAACACTTAAAAACTATATTATTTACATATTTAACATCAAAAATTATTTATTTACTCACATAACACTAAATTCATTATATAACAACAAAAATATCAGTTTCCATAAACTCTCCATTACCTTCTATCTATGCACATAGCACCAACACCACCAATGCCCTTCCCTATTTAAATTCTGCCACAACTTCCTCACATCTTCTTCTAGACATTCACACCCAGCAGGTCCTATCCATGCACTTCCCAAGCACACATCTTCACCTGTCAGTCAATAAGAGCGGTGTCAATATTTGACACGACCTAAAAATTCGATTCAAATCCGATTTTCGAGTTATGATCAAACCATTTCACAAACGGGTCAGATTCGGATTATCGGATTCAACCCATTTGAAAAAAACGAGTCAGATTCGGGTTGACCCGAAAACCTGAACTCAACCCAGGTTAACCCGTTTGAAACGAGCTGACCGCGTCTACCCGCCGAGTTTGAGTCTGCCCACTGCCTGCCTGTTGCATTGAGTGCCCGCTTGTCGCGTCTCAACTTATGTCCGTTATCGCGCGCTAGCCTCGCTTGCCACCATCAACGCGAGCCCTGTCGTCCCGCCGCCGACACAATCCCCACTGTCAGAGTTTACAAAATCGTGTCTAATCAGGTCAACCCAATAACCTGACAGGTCAAATTCGGGTCTGAACTTTCAACCTGTTTACATAACCGAGTCGGGTTGGGATCAACCCGATTGAATCCGAATCAGATGCAGGTTCGACCCAAAACCCAATTTCGACACCCTAATCAATGCACCACCCATTTCATCCATGTCTTTCCCTCAATAAGATTATGTTGTGCCTTTGTTTCCTAATTCTACGTCGTCAAAATGAAAAATCAAAGGCTTCAAAGATGACAATAAAATGATGTTAACAAAGTAATGATTTACATAAACAAAAAGTTTTATACATTAGACATATAAATAGCATACTTTTAAGAATTATAAATATACAAATCCCATACATATTAATATATTCTTATCATTTGATATATCTTACAATAAACATTCAATTCATGTAACTTAAAATTAAATTAATTTACATATATCATCATCAAAAGAAATTCCAAACATATAGGAAATTAGAAAACATATTTTAACAAATAATAAACTCTAAAAACTAATATAAATTTAAAAAATCTACACCACCTTCAAAATACTCTATATATAATACTTTGATTTAATAAAAAAATAAAATGAGAATAAAATCATTATTTTAGAAAGCCAAAAAAAAAAAAACTATCTCAACTGAAGCCTAAATCAAAATAATCTAACAATAGAGTATTGTCAACAAAAATAATAGCATTACTGGAAACTTTGAACAGTAATAGCCTCTGCTTGCATAGTTTCCTCCAGCTACAGAACAGCAATAGATGAAAAAATTAAAGAACAAGCAAATAAATTGATTATCAGAACAGATTACAACAGAAAAACTAAAAAAATATAAAGCCTGCAGCCCTCTAAAACTTAAGGTATACAGGAATTACATGGCTGGATTCAAATAAAATTAGTTGGGTGAGCCAGAAAACTTGGTGGCCATTGCATCTTCATGGGAAGTGGAGACTTTTAGCTCACCATTATTGGGCAATTTGAGCTCTTTGGAGTCTTCTGCATCATTTGGTTTACTCTGAAATTTTATGAATTTTGTTAGTAAATAAATGAAAAAGAAATAAACTGTTAAGGCCATATGGGTCTGCTTTACTATAACAGGAACACCAATTTCATACATTTTTTGTACAATTAAAGAATATTATGATGTTTATGTTTGTAAATGTTTTGATAATTTCCATCCATAAATACTTTGAACATTATATTATTATGAAAAACATCTTTTATCAAAATGTTGTTTGCACACCACCAAATAATTAAGGAATTTAAAATTATTTGAGTTTTCAAGAAAAAAATTTCCTTTTACCATCTAATAAAAGACTTGATGTTGTTGTTGTACCATCTAATTAGCTTTATCATATATTTGTTTTTCTTTTTCAATTAAATGTTAGCATAATTCTTTTATAAATAATTCTTTAAAAACTATTTAAAATTATGATGAAAATGCCATTATAATCATTCTTTGAAGAGAACAAATAATAAAAATCAAAAAGTCACTAACTTTAACATCAACTTATTTGAAAATTATTTAATATAAAGTTCTAGAAGTTCCGAAGCCTTCTCTAATTCTTACATCAACCCATTGACGTGGGCCAGCACAACATGATTTTTAGAAATAACATGACATCAACAAAATATTAATGCAATATTAAATAATTATATAAAAAAAAAACATGGCATCAACAACTAGCAAGATAACACCATAGAAAAGCAGAAAGACTTTAAAACAAGAAATACGCTTTGTTTGGGAACATTTAAGTTTTTCTGTTTTTCCGTTCAAAACTACTTTCTCGGTCACAGTTTTAAAAATATTTTTTCAAAAACAACTTTTTAAAGACAATTTTAAAATAGAGATGAAAATGTTTTTTACTAACTGTTTTTTATCTTGAAAGCAGTGAAAAAACTGATTCGAACAAAATCATAAAAACACAACACAATTTAAATAACAAGCTATCATTAAGGCGGCCATATAGGAATTTCTTAAACCTTTTTACACAGTGATTCTGGCCTCCCATGAGGGGAGGTAGCTTTGGGACGTATAGTTCCACATATCCAAACGGAGAGGAATTTGGATCACTGCCCTCCCATGAGAGGAGGTAGCTTTGGGACATATAGTTCCACATATTCCTTATGTGAGGAATTCTCCAACGAATTCCTCACTTAAGGAATGATGGATCAACCTCCATTATATTATTGAAATCAACCTCAATGTGCAATGAATGAAGCAACATGACTCGCCCATGATAAGGAATATTTCTCCAATTCAAATGAGTGTGGTATCTTTTTCCATGAACACCTAAACAAATAGTTTCAATGGTGTCCGTGGTATCTTTTATTATGGTAGTGTAATTTGATTTTTAACAGGACATAATGAAGAAAAAGGATTCATGTAGTCGACCCCACATAGTGGGACAAAGACTTGATGTTGTTATTGTTGTGTAGTATCCGTGATACGGACATCTACATAATACACCTAGAGACATCCAACATGTTTTCAAAAGAATATATATATATATATAACATGTTTAAAATTATGTTGGAGATATTTCAGGCCGAAATCAAAGCCGAACACAACTCGACTAGTGTGACACACGCAAGACAATTTTAATGTTTTTTTAACTTGAAAGGTCTAGTTCATGTTCCTATTCAACCCTCAAGCTTATGGCGTGTTATTAGTAAACTTGATAAAATTTAGTGTATTATTAGTAAAAAATTGATATATCAACCCAATATATTAAAGTATTCATGTCATTATTATTTGACATGTTTATACTAACTAATAGTAAAATTGATGGAATTTTAAAATTTAATCATAATAAATACTATTTACTTTTCTTTTGTTATAATGAAGCTTTTTAAGAGAAATATATAATATTATATTTTATTATGTGATGTTATTAATAAAAAACCACTTAGCACATTATATATACCAATTTATAAAACAAAATTTTCTGTCAATTATATCCTACATTTTTATAATTATGATGTATCATTATATCTATATCTCATGCTGATGTTTGTGCTTCGTGACTCGTATCTCAAATTTTTCTTTCCAAGAGATTCCATGGTTTGCCGAAGGATTCAGAACTAATAAAAAAGCAAGGCATTAACGCCACTAAACTGTAGAGTTCTCAGGGAAAAGATGATTTCCATGCTAACCTTATTCTTGTGAAGCCATCCAAGTCCAAATGGTCTTGAAAGTAAGCCTCTTCTGGCAAGTGAATCTTCACAAGTCCGCGGAGTTCTACATAAAAAAATTAATCAAGAATATGTATATGGATACAACTGATTCCAATGGGAAGAAAAGTACTACAAAATAAGCAATGGCAAATTAATTAGATGATGTTTCAAGAAAATTTTAACTAATAAAATACCGTGGAGAATGAAGTTTTTGTTGCTGGGCTTTCACTTGATCAGACTGGTACTGAACTGTAGCCTCCAGCAAGGTTTCCGCCATTACAGCACGTTTCTCCATTTGTGCAAGTTCGTTCATGGCTTCTTCATACTTTTCCTGCAGATATCTGACCACCGTTGATGAAATAGTAGTGATGATAAATCAACGCAACTTACTACAACAACAACATCAAGCCTTTGTCCCACTATGTGGGGTCGGCTACATGAATCCTTTTTTGCCATTGTGTACTGTAAAAAGACAATTTCTCATTTAAATCTAATAAAGAAAGATAATTTCTAAAATTTTCTAACCAAGTATTTTTAGATCTACCTCTACTTTTCTTAACATAAGTCAAATCTAATACCTCAACTTTCCTAACCGGGCCATCAGAAGGCCTCTGTTTAATGTAACTAACTCTTGTATATAAATTTCAATCAAATGTAACTCCGAAAAAGCTATAGCTAAACAAACTGTTTTAGTTTTTTTTCCAAAAAATTAAGAACTAAGCCATTAATCGGTACTAAGTAGTCCATAAACATCAAATTTCTGGCTGAAGAACATCAATACTTGAGACAACGTATGCCCCAAAATTTATAGCTCAACTATACACTCCACTATTATTGAAATTATTGTTCCAACAAATCAAATTCTCATAAGAACTCTTTTATTTCATAAATCGAAGGGCTACTTCAAATAAGAGCAGCAATGTCACGTGAACAAATTCTGACTGATTGTTGGCAAACTTCAGGGATATGCCTCTTGAACTGGTTTTCTTAAACAATCTCTAACAGCCATAAATATATAGTATAGACGAAAAAAGTTGAATATCTTAAGCTAGGATTTGAATATTTTAAATTAATCCGAAAATTTCTAAGAGAGCCAGGAGGCTAAGAAGGAGAAACAGATCATGACAGGTCTTGAAAACTCCCAGTTTGAACCTATGCAGTTCTTAAGTTATTGCAGTACTTGTCAACATTTGACAACGCAATGGAGAAACGTTGACCTCTATAAATTCATACAAAAGGATATTACAAGGAATAACCTGTAAAACATGAGCTTCATATTTTTTAGCTGCAGCACCTTGTTCAGCAGATATCCGTGCATCTTCTGCAACCTTCTGTTCTTTTTCCATCTTCATCAAGGCCTGCACGATGCAGGAAGCAGATAAGCTTAAATAGATCAGATGAAATCAAGATATCTTTGAAGAACTGGATATACATGCCAGTAGGGAAGAAAAATAAACTAACTACAAATAGTTAACAAGACCTGAATCATGGCACGTTCTTGTTCCTGCTTGTCAGTAAGAACTTGATGCAACTCAGACACCTCTTTCTCCAAATGCTCAACCTATTAGTTGAATATATACATCGAATATCAAGGAACTTAAATTTAAAAGGGAAACAAACTTTCTTCCATCTAGAAAAGATAATTTTGTTCAAGACCGAAACTCGCTTGATAATCCTTAATTTTTAATTGACTCAAAATCGAAAGTGATTTTCTTTGACTCAACCATGACTTGTATGAAATTCAATTCAAAATCAACTCAATAATAGTAAGAAAAACACATTTATATAGTTGTCTTCAAACGTATGTAATACATACATAACTTGTATATACCATAAGAATGAAAAGTAAAACTATATTTATATTTAATGCATACATACTTTGTTAAACAAAACGTTGTTAGAAAATATTAACTACAAATGCATATGTACATATCCATCTATCATATTAGCAAATTTAAAATATTTTTTTTCTTAAATTAGGAGCTTGGTTCGAATGAAGTCAAAATTGATTAACTTCAACTCGACTTGAATCTGACCGGAGCCAAAACTGAAATTTTAGAATTCAAGCTAAGGCTTGCTTGAACTCAATATCTGCCCTACACATTCAATATATGAATTAGGATTTTATTAGGTGTGACTATGATGGTTGCCCTTCTGCCATGCCCCCACAGCTTGCTGGAACCAAGGCCCATAACCTCCCAGGACACACAGGGCTAGGAAGTTAGATTTTTGGGATCGCGGGGGTAGGAAGGCTACCATCCCAAGCATACATTCACTACAAGCGACAATTACACTAAAAATGCCCCTTGCAACATGGAAAAAGTAAATATTGTCACAGTATTAGTTTTATTTTCTATAAAAATGAATGAGCGATTGAAATTGGCAGATTCGAGCATTTTTAGTCCAATGCCATACTTCAATTCGTGCATACAACTATAAATAAATTATGTTTATTGTTATAATGAACATGAACCAAACACACGCATTAATTACTTCAGAATAACATCAGTACCAGATGTGAGAACAATAGAAGCAAAAAATAAGCAACAGAAGTAGATATAGTAAGAATACATTATGATGTAGAACGGAAATCGCTTTGCTATGGAAGATGGACAAACTCCAAGTGTCTCACAAAATCTGAAAATATTCTTCAGGTTTTTATTCAAAACCTGGAGCAGTTTGGAGAGGAAGGGAACGGCAGGATGACAGAGATTTGAAGGATTTCAATTCCCAAAATCAGTGAACTGATTTGGGCAATAAACTAGGAAATAAAACTGAGTAAATACCAAGCAACACAATTAAGGAGGAGGCGGCTGATTGTGACCAGAATTTCCTAATTCCACTCTCAGCCTATGGAAGGAATTAATGGCTCAGTTTCACGTGGAGGGATAGGAATTAAATTGTGCTATAATTCCCTGAGATTTTTGGGAATTCTCAGATTTGGGAATTCTTTCCCAAAGAACTAGAGTTAATGAATGAGAGGGGGCGGGTGAGAGAAAAAGAAAAACAAAAGGGAATTGTTTTCCTAAATCAATTATTTGATTTAAGAAGTAACGGCTGGGTGGGTGGGGAATGATTTGAGTTAATTTCAAACGGAAATATGAGTCAACTAGGAAATAAATCCTAATTGACTAAATAGGGTGGCCGGCGGCAGGGATAAGCCAAGAGGGAGTTTAATTAAAATAAATAAGGCTCCTTAAAATAGGTATAAGATTTTGGAAAGTATTATTTGTGATCCAATTTGAATTTCAATTTCAAATTAGATTAAAATAAAAACTTTCCCAAAATAGGAGAATTATTTTAGGAAATAATTTTGAAATTCAAATTCAACGAAATTTGAATTTCCGAAATTATCCCTTAATTAATTCATACCCAAAGAGGAGATTTATGAGATGGTAGAGGGCTCAATTAAACTCAATTTGAATTTGAAATTCAAATTGAGTTA